AATATCCTTATTAGAATTTTATCATATTAATATCTTCATGAAAATAGGCCTATATATATATATATACATATATATATATATATATATGTATATATATACACAAGGATACCCATTTCAATAGGTTTTAATAGCATGAAACTGAAATAAAAAAATAATGACTCAAGTAATAGCAGACTGAACAATTAATTTACCATGCATTATTGTATAACTATTGAGAGTACTGGTGTCTTTATGTACCAATCTCACTTGTTAGATGAAAAAGTAAGATTCAGAACAATAATAAGTAAGACTGGGTCTTTTGTTATAGCAGCTAGCATTATCAGGAAATACAGTGATTCAGAAGAGAGAAATGGGAAATTTCAGTTAGGTGGGTAGGTCTGCTCTACTAGTCATTCAGAGACCCAGCTTGCTCCCATCTTGTTTCTTCTCCACTCCCTGGAGGCAGAATCTATGTCTACAGATCAAGCCCAAGTCACAGATAAAGGCTTGCTTAATCTCATAGTAAGGCAAAAGAAACGTGTTGTCTGCATGACCATCTCCTATAACACAAGTGGGAAGTGATGCACATTACTGCTGTTTGCATTCCATTGGATATAAAACTGATCACATGGCCACATCTAAGTTGCAAGGGAAATTGGGAAACATAACATGGTTAGCCAATAAAGTGACAAGCTAAAATATTGTTATTTCTGTATTTTAAGAGATATTTAGATTGATAGCTAGTAGTCTATCACAATATATAAGTACTGAGAATTTTTATGGGGGAAAAAAACCACTTGTTTCTGGTAGGAATCATCAGAAGACGTTAAACAGAAGTTATCTTTGGGAAGATAGAAGGAAAAGTAGAGGATGGAGACATTTTCCCCTTTAAAGTTGCCCTTCTCCCTGCTTGACGGAGAGTCAGCTTCTCCCTCTAACCCTCTCCCCTCTCATGCTCTCCCTCTCTTTCTCTCAAACAAATACATAAAATCTTTTAAAAAAATAAAAATAAGGTTGCCTTTTCCACTTCCTCCTTTCCACCATATACTTACAAGTATTATACTTATTACTTATTTATTTACTTTAACATTAATGAAGGATATCTGAACTGAGATCAGAGAATTATTTAAGACATTTTTAGAAGACAATAATAACAGGATTTGTAGATCATTATACTAAGTAATGAGAAAAAGGAGGGACAGTGTCCAGTCAGTTAAGCATCAGACTCTTGGTTTTGGCTAGGGTCATAATCTCATGGGATTGAGCCTCACATCAGGTGGCTTCCATGCTCAGCAGGGAGTCTGCTTAAAGATTCTCTCCCTCTGCCCCTCCCCTCACTTGCATGTATGTCCTCTCTCTCTCTGAAATTAATTAAATCTGTAAAAAAAGAAGTAATAAAAGAGGTAACAGTCAAAGAAGATTCTCAGAATTATAATTCAGGCATGACTGGTATTGCCATTAACTGCAATGGGAAACACTGAACCTACTGGGAGGGAAGATCATGAAATCCATCTTGAACATAATGAATTTAAGTTGGCTGTGATTTACCTGCATTGAGATTTTCAATAAGCAGGTGGTTATATGGGTCAGAAGCTCATGAGTAAGGCATGGCATAGAACAAATATTTGGAGTGCAAGACTACATAGGGTAATTGAAATCATGTGAGTAAATGGGATTGCCTAGTGAGAGGTATAGAGTAAAAAGAGAATAGCACCTCTGGAATCTTACGCCAACATTTAAGGGCAATTAAAGGAAGATGAAGTGTGGGGAGGAACCTAAGAATGATCACACAGGTAGGAGAAAAAAATAGAAGAGTATCATAGGAAGCATAGGGGAAAGCATGTTTTTAGAAGGAAGTAGTAATCCAAAATTTCTAAGAGGTCAAGCAAAGTAAGGATATTAAAATATCAGATTAAAGAGAAGTTCATTGATAAGCATAAGAAGAGCCATTTCTGTGGAATAGAGGGAAATGAATGAATTCTGGGCTCTTTTATTGTTGCTTTTATTTTGTTTTGTTTTGTTTTTAAAGTGGGAAAGATGTAAGCCTATTTAAATATTGACATGAAAGGTCAAATACAGATAAAAGCAATTCTTTATAAAGAACAAAGGCAGAGTGTGGGTGTGAGTGTGTGTGTATATACATATCCAAAGGTACAAGTTCCTGAGAAAATGGAAAGTTATTAAAGAGATTAGCCTTAGAAGGAAGGAGGGGCAGTTCTCCAGTTGTATTAAAAAGGAAGGAAGAGGGTACCTGGGTGGCTCAGTTGGTTAAGCAACTTTGGCTCAGGTCATGATCCCTGAGTCCCAAGACAGAGCCCCACATCGCCATCCCAACTCAGCCGGGAGTCTGCTTCTCCCTCTGACCCTCTCCCCTCTCATGCTTTCTCTCACTCTTTCTCAAATGAATAAATAAAATCTTTTTTTTATTTAAAAAAAAAAAGGAAGGAAGAAGGAAATAGGTATATTTGTCATGTTTAGTGGAAAAAAAAATTTCCCATGTTTCAATCTAAAGGCTATTATATTTCACTGTGAAGTAGGACAGATCATGTCCTGAGAATAAAGGAGACAGTGAAGCTAGAATTTTGAGGTGTGGGAAGGCTTGAAAGAGTTATGATGGAAAATGAGGGAGGAAGCTGATTAGAGAAACATAGAAAGATTCTCTACCTCCTATAATGATTTTTCCCCAGCAACACCCAGCAGCCTTGAAGCAGACATGGAGCATGCAGACTGTTAAGGTTCTGTCATTTTTTCCAGCACTGAGGTTTTGTCAGGTAGACATAAAGGAAAACAGTAATAGAGTTATAGGGTTTTAGCCAGATAATATGCAAAGCAATAGACCTAGGCTTTATTGAGAAGAGACAGTAGGATAGATAGGGATAAAATAGACTTGCAGTACCAATGAACTTAATGAAGAAATATGACAGGAGTAAATGAGTGAGCAAGCTGCAAGGATAGGAGGCTGCAGTCAGTGAACGGGATGTATGATATTGTGAGTTCAGAGGTAGAGTTTTAGGGGATAACAAGATCCAGAATGTGGCTACAAAAACAACAATTATGGAGTATTATTTGAGATGGTAAAGACATCCAGTAACAGGCCAAGCCTTTGGATGAATCATCCATAAGCACATTGTAATCATCTATGTCCCGAATTTAGGGATGAGAACAATTTCGCCTGAAAAGGGAGATGGTGACCAAGGTACCAAAATGAATGAGGCACTAGATCAGAAGGAAGACAGTATCTTGGGGAGGATTAAAGGATAGTGCAGCTAAATAATATCCATCTCAAAGGAGTGTTTAACTGTGGGTCCTAGACCTGTAGGTACAAGATGTGAGAGTGAAGGGAGGAGATGTGATAGAGTTACAGAAAGGTTTAGAGCACCTGGGTGGCTCAGTTGATTGAGTGCCCAACTCTTGGTTTCTGCTAAGGTCATGATCTATACAGCTCTATAGCTCTATCATAGAATTTAAATAATGATCTTCTAGTGGACTTAGGCTTAGACATGCATACAGTTACTCATTAGGCCACCTGGGCAACACAGCCTTATCTAGGGCCTGGACACATGTCCTATAACAGTAATATCCTGAAGGTATGGCAAAATAGGAGTCTAAATAGTGTTCCAGAGGACTGTTTTGACTTGATCTCAGCAAACCTCTAGGCTGATTCTTGGAAAAAGCAAATACCTAAAAAAAGAAATTTGTCTGTTTCTTCAAGTACTTCCAGGGAAGCTTTGAAATTTCAATGGAACTTGCTGGTAATAGGTATTTAATTTTCTTTTCTCCTAATCCAGGCCAATAATTCCAATTGCAATTGTGGAATTGTACTGTAGATTTGGACTTAACTTGATTTACGTTAAACTTCTTACAGACTCAGAACAAGAAAAATATTGGCATGGGAGAGTATTAGTCTGACATTTCTGGCTATATAATATAAATAGTGATATGAAATTCAAATCTTTGGAAAAGAAGACCCATTGTATTCTACCATGATGTAAATTTATTTTGGTATATATTTCTAAGTTTTCACCCTTCTTCTGGATGGCCCAGAGTGACCTAACCAGGGTCTTCTGTGCCTAATATTTGTTTTTAAAATTTTCACCTACACACTGAGTAAATAAGTATTCTCGTTAAATATTATTTCTCTGCCTATCTTCCCTCTTTCTCAACCTAAATCCTTCATATAAACTTCCCAATTTAAAAAAAAAAAAAACAACTTCCCAATTTATATCTATTGTGTGGCCTATCTTTCTTACCTAGCCCTGGGCAATTGATGTAATAATTTCTCAATTCTTCCCTCTGTTCTAAACAATGAATTAAACCAAATTTGTAAAATCCCATTTAAATTTATTTGCTTGTTTATATATTTACATATTTTTAAGGCAGACTTTGAGTAAATCATGCAGCTGGTTCTTTAGGACAATAAGCATTTCAGGATTTTACAAACTTTTCAGAAAATTAATATATCATTTCTATAGAAATTTTTATATATTTGTACCAAGCAGAAAGCAATTAATTATAAAACATTCTATAACATCATTTTGAAAGGAAAAATTTGCTACAAACTTAAATTAAAGCAGCTTTTTTAAAAAGATTTTATTTATATATTTGACAGAGATCACAAGTAGGCAGAGAGGCAGGCAGAGAGAGAGAGGAGGAGGAGAAGCAGGCTCCCCACTGAGCAGAGAGCCCGATGAGGGACTCGATCCCAGGACCCTGAGATCATGATCTGAGCTGAAGGCAGTGGCTTAACCCACTGAGCCACCCAGGCGCCCCTAAAGCAGCTTTAAAACTCATTCACACTTAAATTACAGTACTTTGTTTTAAGGACATGGGGATTCATTTCAGAAAAGACTATTTTCTTGGGGGGGGAAAGGAGAAGATTACATCTCCAACTTCAGTACTTCCTTAAGTACCTTTTCTTAGTTAAATCACCTTAATAACCTAACTAAAAATTGGTAACCATATTATTTAAATGATGAAATTTGAGACTTTTTTCTAACTAAATGTTTTCTGCTTTTTTGTAGAGGATCTCTGTCGAGAAGGCCTTATAGACCAGGAATAATTTGTGCTCAATGTAGCAGATATGACAGATGCACAGATTTTCTATGCAGTAAGATAAAGAAAATAACTTAAACATTAAAAAATCCATAACACATTTGATGACAAGAAAAATGAAGTATTGAACACTAGTTTTTCTTTGTCATGTTAATATTGTTCTTTTGATCAAGTGTTGTTATTATTAACAAAGGAGGGTTGAAACTGTATCATCTCTAGAATTTTCTAGTCCACATAGCCTTTTTTGCCCTCTCTTACCCCTGTTTCTTCCCCTGGAGACCTACCACAATGTCTGAAAGAAGGAATGGGAAAGAATAGTTATCTCCTAAAGAAGCTTGCTAGTTAATTCCTGAAATAGCAGCCTGTTTGAGAATGACTGCTCTAAAGGATAGGATATTCTAAAATATTTATAAAGAGAAAAGAAGTAAAATAACACACATTTAGTAGCCTTTTCTTTTAGTTTTTTTTCCTCCAAAATATTCAAAAGAAGTAGAAAATATATTTGGGTAAACTTTTCCTTAATTTTTCCAAACATAAGAACATGTAATCCAAAAGTACAGCCACACCTGAAATATATGATGCTTACAAGAATGTGTTGGGGGCTAAATTGAGACAGTAAGGGGGCACATTGTAATTTTGTGATAAAGAAACGAATGGACAATTTCATCATAATATCACTGCTGACATGAATCCACTCCAACATTCTTGCCCTTGCTTCGCTTGAATCAAGATGCAAAATCTTGCTCTTCCTCTTCCCCTTTTCTTTCTCCTCCTAAAATAATTCAATCCTAAAACCATTAAGTAGGTCAGAACAAGGTAGGCATCCACACAGAGGGCCAGAGGATGTGACATATTAGAGCTTAAGCAGAATGACAAGAGATTCATACACAGTGAACATGAGAAGACAGCCTTAAACAGGGGGAGGACAGTGTCCACATGGGGGTATAGTCTTATATAGAAGGTTAGAGCCTCTGTGGAGTGAAATGGATGTCCATGAATGAGGTCAGACTTAGGGTATCAGAAACATACCAGAATGAAGAGATCTCCATACCAAGAGGGTTCAGTATGTGGTATCTGAGCCCCAGTAAGTGGAGGAGGGCATCAACATGGGGTAGGATTGAGAAGCTTGGCATATAATAGACAGGACATGTAAGGACTACATCCTTGGAGGGATGGTTTGGCACTGGTTGTTTGAACCCAAGCAGAATGTGAAAAGGATTCACATATAGGGATGCCCTGGTAAGAGGTATTAAAATCTATGTAGATAAGGGAGCATCCATGTTTAGAGGCAATTTCACATGATGTATCAGAATTCAAAGTAGGTGAGGGAAGCTTTAATGTGGGAGAGGGAGGTGGCCTGGCATCTGGAGGGGTCAGAGCCCTAGAGGAGAAACGTAGGAATCTACACATTGGAGAAGCCCAAAACTGGGTTTTACAAGTCTGAGCAGGGTGGGAGGGGATCCAAGTGGAAGATCAGGCTATAGGTTGCCAGAGTAAAATACAGGATGCCCAGTTAAATTTGGACTTCAGGTAAACAAAACAAAACAACACAACAACAACAATAACAACAACAAATATATATATATATATATATATATATATATATATAT